GGACCCTTGCATCATGCCATGGACAAAACTTACGGGTGAAAAACCCTAATGTAAGAGCTAAAACTATTAAACTCCTAGAAGAAAACACAGGGGTCAGTCTTCATGACATTGGATTTGGCAAAGGATTTAACATTAGATATGACAATAAGAGCACAAGCAATAAAAGAAAAAAATAAACAAATGGGATTTCATCAAAATACAAAATTTGTATTTCAAAGGGCATCATCCAAATAGTGAAAAAGCACCCCACAAAATGGGAAAAGATATTCACAAATCTGATGAGGGACTTGTATCCAGAATATATAAGGAACGCTTAAAACTCAATAATAAAAAGACACCCCAATTTTAAAAATAGGCAAAAATAGACATTTCTCCAAGGAACTTAAACAAATGGCCAATAAACACATGAAAAGATGCTCAACATCATTAGTCATCAGAGAAAGACTAGTTAAACTGGCAATAAATACTATCTCACACCCACTAGGATGGCTAGAATCAAAGAGTCAGAAAACAGCCAGGTGCGGTTGCTCCCGCCGGTAATCCCAGCACTTTGGGAAGCCAAGGCAGAAGCGTCACTTGAGGCTAGGAGTTGGAGACCAGCCTGGGCAACAGAGCAAGACCCCATCTCTACAAAAAATAAAAGTTAGCCAGGCATGGTGGTGCATACCTGTAGTCCTAGCTACTAGGGAAGCTGAGGTAGGAGGATCCTTTGAGCCCAGGAGTTCAAGGCTATAGTGTAGTGAGCTATGATTGTGCCACTGCACTCCAACCTGGATGACAGAGTGAGACCCTGTTTCAAAAAAAAAAAAAAAAAAGTAATAAGTATTGGGGAGGATGTGGAGAAATCAGGACTCTCATACACTGCTGGTGGGAATGTAGTATAGCCACTATGGAAGACAGTCTGACAGTTCCTCAAATGATTAAACACAGAGTTACCATATGATCTAGCAATTGCATTCCTAGCTATATACTAAAGAGAAATGAAAACAAGTCCACACAAAAATTTGTACACGAATGTTCATAGCAGCATTATTCATGTAGCTAAAAGGTGGTAACAACCCAAACTGATGAATCAACTGGAATCAACAATCTATCAATTGGCAAGTGGATAAACAAAATGTGTCCTATCTGTACCATTGGAATACTATTCAGCCACAAAAAGGAACGAAGTACTGACATGTGCTACAACATGGATGAACCTTGAAAATATCAATATTATGCTCAGTGAAAGAAGCCAGGCACAAAAAGCCATACATTCTATGATTCCATGCATACGAAATGTCCAAAATAGGGAATCTACAAAGACAGAAAGTAGATTACAGGTTACCAGGAGCTTGAAGGAGGGTAAGAATGGAGGGATATGGGAAGACAGCTTAAGGGTGTAGGGTGTTTTAGGAGATGATGAAGATGATCTAAAGTTGACTGTAGTGATGGCTGCCCATGTTTATGAAGCCACTAAAAAACACTGAATCGTACACTTTAAAAAGGTGAATTGGGCCGGGCGCGGTGGCTCACACCTGTAATCCTAGCACTCTGGGAGGCCAAGGTGAGTGGATCGTTTGAGCTCAGGAGTTTGAGACCAGGCTGAGGAAGAGCGAGACCCCGTCTCTACTAAAAAAATAGAAAGAAATTAGCTGGACAACTAAAAAAATATATATATATAAAAATTAGCCGGGCATGGTGGCGCATGCCTGTAGTCCCAGCTACTCGGGAGGCTGAGGCAGAAGGATCACTTGAGCCCAGGGGTTCGAGGTTGCTGTGAGCTAGGCTGACGCTCTAGCCTGGGCAACAAAGCGAGACTCTGTCTCAAAAAAAAAAAAAAAAAAAAGGTGAATTGTATGGTATGTGAATTATGTCTCAATAAAGCTCTTTTTAAAAATGAAGGTGGGATAGTATAGCTTCCACATACAATTGAGAAAACTGTAAGAGAAGTCATCTCTAAGAACTCCAGATAATCATTTATTTATTAATATGTGCTCATTAGTTTCTCAGCAATTGTTTGTAGCTTTTATGGTAGACGTTTTGCACATTTTTTTGATAAATTTATTTCTTTTTCTAAGCATTCCGTTTGGACGTGATGGTAAATGGGGTTATGTATTAGTTTGCTAGGGCTGCCATGACAAAGTACCACAGACTGGGTGGATTGTAACAGCAAAAATGTATTCTCTCTCAGCTTTGGAGACTATAAATGACGTGGCCCGGCTTCAGACCAAGGAATGAACACAGAGACATAAAGACGCAGACACATGACTGCAGCCCGTACAAAAAGACACAGACACCACAAGACAGCATGAGGCCGCAGCGAAAAGCTTTCGCTGTAGCTGTTTATTTATAATACAGGCTGTTTGGCAACTGTCCCACTGCAAGTTCTTTGTTCCCACACCGTCCGGACTCAACACGTCCCAGTTCCTTGTTGTTTCGTCTCCAGCAAACACATGTTTGCATCTCAATTCTCTAGCCCCTCCTGTTTGCAGAGAGAGGACGCTCTGGACTTGAGTGCAAGGTCACAGACATGTTCTTGAGAAGAACAACAAGGAAACTTTCCCAGACAAAGGTGTTCTCTACAATAAATCCCAAATCCAGATGTCAGCAGGATTGATTCCCTCTGGATGTTCTAAGCACAATGTTTCACGCCTCTCTCCTCGCTTCTGGTAGTCACCGGCAATCCTTGGCATTCTTTGGCTCGTAGATGCATCACTCCAATCTCTGCCTCAGCCTTCATGTGTTTTCCCCTGTGTGTCTATGTCTCTTATAAGGACACCAGTCATTGGATTTGGGGCCCACTCTAACCCAGCATGGTATCATCTTAACTTGACACATCTGCAAAGACCGTATTTCCAAATGAGGTCACATTCACAGGTACTGGGCTTTAGGATTTCAACATTATATCTTTATAGGATTTATATATTTATATCTATATAGGATTTCAACAGTATATCTTTTGGAGGGACTCAATTCAACACACAACAGGCTATTTTTTAATTTCATTTTCCAATTGACTGCAATAAATATATAGGAATACAATATTTTTCATATATTGACTTTGTATCCTGAGATTGTCAAATTGACTTATTAGGTTAAGGTTTTAAGATTCCCTAGGACTTTCTACATGTCATCTGTGAATAGAGACAGTTTTATTTCTTCTTTCCCAATCTTTCTTTCCTTTATTGCCTTCTTGCACCAGGTAAGACCTCCTGTACCATGCTGAATTGCAGTGGTAAGAGTGAACACCCTTGCCTTGACCTGATATCCTCTACAGGGACAGCATTCAGTACTTCATCAAGTATAATGTTAGCTGTAGGTTTTTTGAACATAAGCCTTCATCAGATTGAGGAAATTCCTTTTATTCCTAGTTTGCTAAGGGATTTTATGATGAGTAGGTATTGGATTTTGTCATAAGCTTTTTCTGCTTCTTTTGAAACGATCATACAGTTTTTCTGTTATTACTAGTAAATTACATTTATTGACTTTATTTTTTTGAGACAGCATCTGGCTCTGTTGCCTGGGATAGAGTGCAGTAGCATCTCCATAGCTCACTGCAACCTCGAACTCCTGAGCTCAAGTGATCCTCCTGCCTCAGCCTTCCAAATAGCTGGGACTACAGGCGTGTGCCACCACGTGTTTATTTTTTTTAATGTCAACCAGTCTTGTATTCCTGTAATAAAAATCCTACTTGGTTATGATGTCTCCTTTTTTTGTATTGCTGAATTCAGTTTGTTAATATTTTGTTAGGATTTTTATCTTTCTCAGGTTTTGGTGTCATAAAATGAGTTGGGGAAACATTCCCTATATTTTGAGTGTATGTTAACATTGGTATTTTATCTTTTTAAGATGTTTGAAAGAATTCACCAGTGACATCATCTGGGTAATTTTCTTTGAGAAAAGATTTTTAATTGCAGATTCAATTTATTTAATGGACATAGAGCTATTCAAGCTTTCTATTTCTTCTTGTGTCAGTTTTCATAAGGTATGTTTTTCAAGGATTCTATCCATTTCATCTAAGTTGTCAAATTTCTTACCATAAAGTTATTCATAGTGTCCTCTTATTATCTTTTAAACATCTGGGACATTTATAGTGATTTCCCCCTTTTCATTCCTTATATTGGCAATTTGTGTTTTCTCTTTTTTCTTGCAGCCATGCTAGAGGTTTATCAGTTACATTACTATTTAAAAGAACTAACTCTTAGCATTATTGATTTTCTTGCTATTTTCATTAATTTCTGCTTTTTTATTATTTCCTTCCATTTTCTTTGGGTTTAATTCACAGTTTTTATTTATTTATTTATTTAGGAGATGAGTCTTGCTCTGTTGCCTAGGCTGGCCTCGACACAAACCAATGACATGCATTATGCAGGTAGCCCGCTCTTTGCAGAGTTCTAACATGCTCTCAGCAGATGCCTACTTCTTCTACTTCATTCCCACCCCTTTTCTTCATGTCCTGGGCTAGGGCTGAAACAGGCCAAGGGCAGAATGCTGGGCTGGTGCCCGATCACTTCTGAGTAGCTCAGGGCTCCATCTCTGCCCCAATGGTCTCTGCCTGAATCCAGCTCAACACTTGGGAGAATGTGAAAGTACCAATGGAGTTCCAAACTCACTGCCTCGCTCCTAACAAAGGATGGCCTCTCCCCAGTAACTCACTTCCCTCAAATGTCAGGTGCCCACTTGTAAGTAAACCTCAGTATAAGTGCCCCAAGAATTTCTCCAAGTAGTCTAAAGGTCAGGAGCTCAGGTATTTACCTGGCTCTGTGAAGCTGCTAAAAGTAAAATATTTAAAATGCAAGTCCTCCATCCCTGCAAATGCTAAGGCAGCCTTCTGCCCACACAGCCCCAAATAGGTAGAGCTGGCCAGACTCCCATCAACCCCCTTGTCTAGTTCCCCTGGCAGGTGGTAACAGTGGGAGTGTCTCCCCTTGCCAGCTGGTCTAACTCCTGCGGGTAATGAAAATACTGCTGGGCCCCTGTACCCCATCGGCAACACGAATTCTCAGAGCAGTCACAGTAGCAAGTATATTTATTATAAAAATAAATGAATATAAAATAAGTGTGTTTTAACTTCTGGATACATGATAAATGCTATTGCAATGCATTGTTTTTCAATTTCGATGTCAATTCAGATGCGGCAGACATGTGCAATGTTTTTTAATTTCAGTTTCAATGCAGACATGTGGCTCTGCCATGGCTAGGGACAGGCCCCCTAGTGGGATGTGCAGCTACAGTACTCTGTTCTGCAAACCTCCTGATCCAAGGCAGGGAGGGGACACTTTATTCTATAGAACAAGATGGAGCTTCTACCCTGGGGACTGCACATGTGGCTCCCATAGGCAGCCACTCCTTTCTGGCAAGCTGCAGCATCTCCACGTGTAGGCTGAGGTGGGGCTTGCACACTAGCAGCAGACTGATCTGGTTTCAGCATGATGGAGAGATGAGACCAGGGCTTCCCTGTGACTGATGCTCCTGACCCCATCTCTGCCTCCAACCCCAGCCCTGCTGGCAGCTTCCTCTGACCTGGCCTGTTCCACAGCCAAAGGGGGATCAAGGTGAACAATCAGAGTGCCCATTCTAGGGGCCTTGATCTCAGTAGAGCTCAACCCATTGTGTTTGAGAGCACCCACCCTGTCCCTGAGGTGGCTGCACTAGGCAGGGGCCCACAAGGGCACAGGGAAGTCCTGGCTCACTGGCAGCACTCGGCCACATGCCTGAGGAGCTCTTCACCTTGCTCATCACTGAAGTACCGCAGGCAGTGAGGGCACTGAAGGTCTCCCTGGCCTCTCTGGGCTGTGCTGGGGTCGCTGCCTTCTGCAGGGGGTTCCAGTTCCAGCTGCTGGGACCCAGGCCCCGGCCTCCAGCCACCAGGCCCCACAAGCTTCAATGCATCAGTTTCCAAGTACTTGGCAGTTTTGCTCCTGGTATGAATCCGGCAGGGGTCTGGCTCTTGGACGTCCTGGAGAAAAGGCAAAGATCTGTTTACATGGGCTGTGCTGAAGGCCACAAAGCCAGGTCTCGGGTTCCAGCAACAAGTGCAACTTAAATCCCTCCCCATGCGGAATTCCTGTTCCCCAGAGCCCAGACGAGGTGCTCAGTGAACAACTGAAGAGATCACCCACACTTCCTCACGCACACATGAAGGAACAGGTCTGAGTGGGGTCCGCTCCCCAGCCTCTCGGCACAAGGCCTGATTGGACCCATTGGCTCTAGGAGACCTAACCAAGAAGGTGCCTCCGAAGACATGCTCCACACAGCACCACAGGGTGGCGGGGGGCAGAGCTCAGGGTGGGAAGCAAATTGAATCCCAATCCCACTCTGTACCTCCTCTGGGGCTTGGGGTGCTAAGCACTCTAAGCACTTAGAGGGCCTCCAGTAGTAGCAGGGGAGTATCCCTGCCTCAACCACGCCAATCACTTGGCACAGACACGCATCTTGAAGCACTGCAGCCTGCAGTGCCCATCGTTACTTGTTTGGGACCTTCATTCCAGTAGGCCTTCCCACTCTGCATCTAAATTTGGATTTTCCTCAGCGGACTACAGTTCATCATCCATGCCTTCAGCACCACTGTCCCTGGGTGAGCCACTTAGGGACTGAGCAACAACAAGTGCTCCTAATGCTCAAGGGGCCAGAGGCTACAGTTGAAAGGGATGTAGAGGCCACTTAGTACAAAGTCCCCAGTTCCTACCAGGAATTTTGCCCTTGGTGCTGAGTGAGAATTCCTAGAGAATCCAGGCCTGCAGGTCTGGAACCAGTTCCTTTGGCCCCAAATCTTTGGAAGGCCACCTGAGACCATCCTCATGGCTGTACCATTAGCAACCCTTCAATCCAAATCACATGCTTCCTCACATTCATGGAGGCCAGAAAACCAACAGGCAAAACCAAATCCCAGGAAAACCCACATATAGTCATGTTGGAAGATGCTCCCAATCCTGCCCAGGGAACATGCTGGAAGATCCCCACCCTAGGCCTACCTGCAGTCCCAGGACCTTAGGAGAACCAGGAATTGGGTTTTCTACTCTCCATCATGTGATGCCAAGAAGGCTATGGGGTCTGGGCAGGGGCTTGGGGCAGGTCCTGCTGTGGCTGGTGAAGCCATCAGAGCTTCCTTGTCAGCCTGTGGACTTGTGGGGGAGGACAGAGGCCCCCACCATGATCCCTTTCTTTGTCCACAAGTAGAAACAGTTGCCTGTGTCCAGGCCCCCTGCTGTGGACTTAGTCCAAGGGTGTGGAAGAAAAGATGTCCACCATGATCCCCTGTTCCCCTCCCGGAAGAGGGGAAGAGGCACGTGGGTGCCACAGGTCACACGGCGAGAAACTTCATCAGTTCTGACTCACACTGGGCCTCCTTCAAGGCACCCACCACGGCAGAAGAGCACTGAGCCCAGGGAGTGGGCTGCAGATCCCACTGGCCTGCAAGGCCCAGCTGCATGTGCCAGGCTGAGCTGGGGGACGTTACTGGATACCTAGGGCTGTCACATCTACATGACAGGGTAACCAGGGTTTCCAGCTTAGAGCAGGGGAATGTATGGGGCACCCAATAGGGAGTCTAAGTCCTAGGACACACTCTCTGGCTGCATGACAGTGACAAACAGGGAGGCAGGACAGGCCCTGAGAATGGCCACCTCTGCTAACATAGGCTGCCATGCCAACCTCCTCTGTAACTAAACACAGTACCACAGTGAGAGTTTCCACAACCACGTCCTAGGCACTAGGCAAGGCAGCTCTGCCCAGAGCTGGGAAGGGCCCAGCACAACCCTTCCCACCAGCAAATCAGGGTCTTAGCAGACACTGAAAAGCTCAAAATGCATGAAGAGAAAAACAAAAACACTAAACCTAAGCAAGAAGAGAAATGCCTTCATACTCTACCTGTCTCCAGGACACCTGGTGCAGCAAAGAGGTGACCTTTTCCTCTAGCTCTTGAATCCTGCTTTGAGCCCGTTCCCGATCTGCCCTTTCCGACATGAAGTCATCCTTGTAAGCAAGAATCTAAGAAGAGACAAGAAACATTTCTGCTCAAGGAAGGACAAAGTCCCCACTGGGCTTCTCCCATCTGCCCCATGACCACTGCCCACCCTGAGCCCTCGGCCCAGCCTGTCCCGAGACCACAGCCACCTCCTGGAGGCAGACGTACGGTCAGCGCTGCCCAGACCCCAAGGGTGGAGACCTGCTGTTCCAGCATCTGTGCCCGCTCCAGGGCAGCGTCCCGGGCCATCCTCATGGCTGCCAGCTCCCGCTTGACTTCTGCACAGTCGTTTATTTTCTCCTCCAACTGTCTGTTAAGCCGGAAGATTTCCTTCCTCATCAGCTCAGGCTTGTGGGGGGCCTGCAGTTCCCTCAGCTGCGCATGGATCCCCCTCACGTACTCGTCCCTGCTGGCGTCGTAGCGCTGCCACTTGGCATTGAGGTCTTCCACCTGAGGATGCGGAGCCGGAAAGCTCCCGGCGAAGGCAGCTGAGAAGCTGCTCGAGCCAGCACCCAACCGTGAAGCTGTTTACCAGCAATAATTCACGAGCGAGGTTTTCCTCTTCAACGCAAGCCGCCTCCCTGTGTTCTGTGCAGAGGGGACACTAAGCCCACCAGAGGATCCTGGGACACTGATAATGCCCATAGCAACGATCTTACACAGAAGTGGACTTAGTACAATTTTCCTGCCTTAAAAACTGTACTTCCTGATAGTAATTCTTGTACTTCCTTTAATTGACTTGTGAATCAAATTGGGGGGATGGAGGAAAGACAGGACATGTCCTGTACATTGCCTTAGGCTAAAAGGTAAGGTCTCTGGGGACTGTGTGTATCAAGCCAAAGTGGCTAGAGGGTGGGAGCAACCTCTGGGCATCGGCCAAGGAAAGAATCCTCACATACAGCTGGTGAGAGGGAATGTTCTTCTCAAATAAAAAGTTAAAGACACTCACGTGAGTCACCTTCTGTTTTAACAGTCGATTTTCTTCCTGTAACTCCTCAATAATATTCTGGACAGAGGCATCCCTGCCTGTATGCTCTGGCTGCATAAGGAACGGGCAGAGAGGAGACACCGTGTCACCACATGTAAGAGCGGATGAGAAAGCTGGATCTGGAGGCTGAGGCCACAGGTCATCACTGCATCCCACAGTGCAGCAGGTAGTGACCGTTCGTTTGACAGAGAAGCAAAGCAGAGACAAGGACTTGCTGACTCCAGCCGTGCGGGGACAAGGAACCACCCTCTCCCTGCCAGGCTCCCGACTGGGGCCAGGCCACAGCCTGAGCAGAGGGTCTCCAGGTCACATCATCCTTGACCCTGTTCTTATTCCAACCTACCTGCCAGTTTGAGCTGTTTCTTTTAAATATACAGGATTTAAACATTCTAAAGTCTAGAATGTGTACATATACCGGATGTAGTAAAATCTTCTCATTGCTTGAGCTCTGCCATTATCACAGGGAGTACGGAGGGCAGGAAGCTCAATCCCGTTATACACCAGAGAACCCCCAGCTGTTGGGGTGGGCCTGGCTGTGAAACCGGCTTACCTCCTTCAGAGCCCGTGACACTATCTTATCTACAGACAACAAGTTCAATGTGGTGCTTCTGGACACGGCAATCTAACCCGTACCGCATGCAGTATTGGGAAATTTGGTCATGGGAGCCATTTCCCAAAGAAAAACCTAATAGTTGGCAGACCTAACTGAAAAGTCTCATGAAATACCCTTTTGTACCCTAGAAATTCCGCACAATGAACAGTGCTGGAGACTGTGTATCAGTGACATTATTTTTGAGAATTCCCCTCAAATGACAAAGGAAGTGCATGTCCTAATCCAGCCTCTACTGGGAAGCCCCGGGTGACTCAGCCAAGTCCAGGGCTGAGAAGTGACATTTATTTACAGACTGTGAGGAGGGGCCTGTCCTGCCCTCCCATCCCCCCACCACTGGTCCCACACCCATCTCATGCTGACCACTGTATGTGGCTCTTTTCAAATCCCCAGAGGGAAATGACTCAAAATTGAACAAGAACACCCCACCTCCTCCCAGTCAACGAATTTTCTTTTGGTTTCTGAAATACAATTGTGTTCTTCTCAGGTTCCCTTTTTGTGGAATCCACCCAACTGAGATGGGTGGTTCTCAGATCAAGTTTCTCCCCAACGGGTACTTTGGTGAAGCTGCTAATAGGAACTGGATGTGCCAACTGCCCCAGAACATCTCGGAGCACGTGTTTCTGCATGAATCCTGTTGCTGCCTCAGAGAACTACCTAGAGGGACCCAAGCAAGAGGCCCTGTGCCAGGCAGTGCAGGCAAGATGCAGCCTCAGCCAGGCCCACCACATGACCGGGTTAAGGTGTGTCCCACGTGCTTCCGTTTCCTGTCTGTCCCACACAGATCACAGCCCCCCAGCAAGAAGCACTGTGACCAGCGCCTGGCTTCCAGCAGCCTCAGCCCCACTGCTCCCTGCTCTTCCTGCCTAGGAGCCCCCTGGTTTCCTGATTGTGCCCCCAACCTACATGACAGCCTTATGTGATTCCTGATGCTAAAATCCTCATGGTCCCTTGTCACCCCCACCAGACCCTACACATAGCTACAGCCCAGATCCAGTGTCTTAGGCCCCCAATATCACCTGGTCCTTGCTTTGATGACAATGAGGCTGCAGCCCTGAGGACGACCAGGTCTCCTGGCTTGTGGCAGGCCGTGCTGCTATCAAGGACATGCCCAAAAACCAGCTTTGGCGATGGCAATTCTGGCTTTTCATGAGGCCCACAGCTGTGCCAGCCCTGATCCACTTAGATATACGGAGTCTGCAGATGGCTGGCACTCATGGTCCTCCTGGCAGTTTGGGCCTAACCCCTGCACATGTGCCATTTGGGGGCACTGCCCCTCTCCAGCAGTATTGCCTAGCTCTGCCTCAGTTTACTCATCTGCCCAACACACATGTGACAGCACTTCCTCAGGGCAGCCTCTCTATCCCCCACTCTTCCTTCTCATCCTCGGCTGAGGCAGATGAGACCAGAGTGCCATCTCCGCAGCTGGGTGCAGGATCGGCTACAGGCCCAGTGCTGGGGGCTGGTGAGGTGAGCCGCCCTGCGTTCCTATTGCATTTTGCATGTTCCATCATTCTAAACAAAACCCCTGGATGTGCAAGCTTTGACCCACTGGCTGACTCTCATTACTGAGAACAAAAGTGGGCTCTGGGGCACCCCCTGACCTCTGAGATTGCTAGGGGATCCTGGAGGTCTGTAGGCAATGCCTCCTGCCACACCGGGGTCTTCATCACGATTTTGTTACACTGTGGCCTACCTCGTTAGGACTTTTCTCCTCTACGTCCCCTTGTGCATGCTGTCGTTCACCCAGACACTTGGCTAGATGCTGGCACATGTGGGCAGTGGCAGCCAGTGTCCTCCGCAGCTGGTGGGTCTCCTTGGCCAAGGAGTGGCACAGAACGTCACTGGCAGCCCGGGCCCGCTCCTCCTCCGCCACGCTCCTCCGCAGCAGGATGACTTCCTTCTCTCGCTCATGCTGTGGCTGGCTCAACAGCTGCTGCATCTCCCTCTCTTGTTCCTCTAGTCGCTCAGTAAGTCTCTCAATTTCCTAAGTGGAAGATTTAAAAACACAGTTTATGTGATTAAAAGAAGCAATGCCAAAAGCAAACGTTCATAAAGCAACAGAAAATCTGGCATGGAGACCCCATCACTAGATAACAAACATACTCACTTGGAAGGCTGGCCTTTGAACTAATGATTATCTTTTGGAGTTTTTCAGCCTGCAATGTTCTGCTCTGAAACATCATTTGAAATTCTATTTTCACAAGCAAGTTTATAATTTTAGATTTTACATCATCAAATTATTAAAAATTCCAGGCCAGGCATGGTGGCTCACACTTAATCCTAGCACTCTGGGAGGCCGAGGCAGGAGGATCACTCAAGGTCAGGAGTTCGAGACCAGCCCGAGCAAGAGCGAGACCCCGTCTCTACTAAAAATAGAAAGAAATTACCTGGACAACTAAAAATATATAGAAAAAATTAGCCAGGCATGATGGTGTATGCCTGTAGTCCCAGCTACTTGGGAGACTCAGGCAGAAGGATTGCTTGCGCCCAGGAGTCTGAGGTTGCTGTGAGCTAGGCTGATGCCACAGCACTCTAGCCCAGGCAATAGAGCGAGACTTTGTCTCCAAAAAAAAAAAAAAAAAAAATTCCAAACACCTCTTTGCTAGGAATGATAGAAACTCCACTGAAGAGGGTAGCTCCCCAAAACATATGTCCACATCCTAACCCCTAGTACCTGAGGATGGGAACTTACTTAGACATAGGGTCTTTGCAGATGTAATTAAGATAAGGTCATCCTGGATTAGGATGGAACTGGTGTCCTTATAAGAGGGACAGACAGAAGAAGGCCACACGAAGACAGAGATCGGAGTGATGTATGTACAAGCTAAGGAATACCAAGGACTGCCAGCCATTACCAGAAGCTGGGAGAGGCTGGGAAGGATCCTCCCCTCGAGCCTTCAGAGGGAGCCAACACCTTGATTTCGGGCTCCTGGCCTCTAGAACTGTGAAAGACTAAATTTCTGTTGTTTGAAGCCTACAGTTTGTGGTACTTTGTTACGGCAGCTCTAAGAAACTAATACACTCAACCCAAATTACTTCTTTTTTTTTATTATTTTATTTTATTTTTATTTGGGGGGGGTGGTCTTCCAGTGAGGAACAGAAAACCTGCTAGACAAATTCTAAAAGAGCTGTAACACTCCCAATTACTTTTTTAGAAAAAAAAGTCCTTAAAATGACAATTTTTAAATATCTGACCTTAAATTCATGCTTTTCCATTTTCAAAGACCCCTCCAACAGCACATGAGGGAAGTTAAGCAGGCTCAACTAGTCCATCCCACAAATGAAGAAACAGTTCCAGAAGAAACAGTTTCAGAAGAATCAGGGACGAATCCAGGCGTCCCCCAGGAGGAAATGGCAGGAGAAGGATCCAGCTTCTGCCTCAGGTAATCACTCAACCTCCTACACAACATGAGGGACAGACACCAGGAACCCAGAACCTTCTCACCACAATGGAACAAATACTAGGCCATATTACTAAGGGAACCCTGAATTATTATTCTCTTAACTAGCTTTTTTAAAATCACAAAAACAACATGTGCACTGTTAAAAAAAAGTTCAAACATACAGAAGTAAATAAAATAAAAATGTAAATTTCTTTCCTCTCCCCCACACCCTTTCCCATCCTTCACTCTCCAGAGACCATCACTGTTTATTATTTGGGCACATATCTTTCCAGAACATTTATAAGCATCTATAACACGTGCGTATTTTTACGCAGAGGGATCACACAGCAACACTGCTGTTCCCCTCCTCAGTAATCTACCTTCTTCCACAACAGCACAGAGAAACTTGCCTCATTCTTCTTAACTATGGCCTGGAACACCATGATAGATTACAGATTTATTGAAAATGCCTTCAACTGACGAACACTTATCTGTTTCCTTGTACTTCTGCACAAATATATCAATGGGAAAAATGCCCAGAAGTTGCATGGCTAGTATTGTTTGAAGAGTAAAGAAATAATTGGTGGAATTCAGGAACACAGCCACTGTGCCCCACCCTGTCTCCTGACACTCCTCCACCCAAACTCTGTGGTATGCATGATAACCTACTCTGTAGGATAATAAGCCTAGCATGACTGCATCACTCTAACCAAGTGACTCAGAGAATATTCGGGAATTCTCACTCAGGGCTTTTCTTCTTTCTTTCTTTAAGAGATGAAGTCTCACTTTGTGGCCCAGGCTGGGGTGCACTGGCCCAATCACAGCTCACTGCAGCCTCAAACTCCTGGACTTAAGCAATTCTCCCACTTCAGCATCCCAAGCTGGGACTACAGGCCAGTGCCACCGTGCCCAGCTAATTTTTAAAAATTTTTTGTAGAGATGAGGTCTCCGCTACGTTGCCCAGGCTGATCTTGAACTCCTGGCCTCAAGCAATCCTCCTACCTCGGCCTTCCAAAGTACAGGGATTACAGGCATGAGCCACTGCACCTGGCCAACTCGGCATTTTTAAGAGTCCTTTCCTTCCCACCTTCCTTGGACCTTACTCTAGAGGCAAACAGAAAGAGAGGAAAGAAGAAAAACCTCTAGTTATGATGATCAGATGTAGAAAAATCAGCAGGACTGGCAACAATAGGTGCACAAATGAAAAACAGAACACCTCACTGGGGACAAGTCTGCAAACTGGACTTTTGCCCAAAGACACCCAGCACCTGCATTCCATCATCCCATCACACCGCACTACCTTCTGACTTTGCAGCTCTCGGGAATCTCGGGGTGCCTCCGTTTCCTGGCCAGGGGAGATCCGTTCTCATGAGACCATTACTTTCACCTGTCTGCTTTATGACCCTCATGACCCTACCTGAGCAGAGACCAGGCCTTTCTGTGCTGAAGGAGGAAAAGAGACATCTCTGTGAAAGCCAGTCGGCATCAGCACCTGCTCCCAGCAGGCGGACCCACAGCACCAGGCTGAACCTCCAGGACTGGGAGACAGAAGGGGCCTGGGGACCTGGTTCTTTCCAAGAGCAGAGGGGGCTCTAGGCTCCAGGACAAGCACTGTTCATTCACTTGGGGCCACCACCCACGACCACCTGAGCCCCTCTACACGGCTGCAGGCTGCCAGCTGATGCCAGATCACTTTGCCTGGACATGCGAGGGCACGCCCAGGGCAGCAGCGCATGTTTACCAATTGCAGCCTCCTTAACATAAAATACAACAAACAAGAGAAAGAATGTTAAATCCCAATGTCAGCTCCAGTTCTCACTGCTGATTGTTTCCAAGGTATTGAACCTAAACTACAAACACACGTCTGTTTCTTGGCTTTGAATTTGTTTTTCTTTTAAAATTGACCATTTCTGAAGGCCATTTTGAAGTGTCCAGGCCAAGTGATTTGGGGCTTTGTCTCATGTTCCTACTTCGAAGATAGTGCAGTAGGAGCCTCCCCTAATTGCTCCTTGGAAATGTCATAGACCCCTGGCCAGCCACCTCTCATCTGGCTTTGATTCTCCTCAGCCAACACCACAGCTTTGTCACTGGTGGCAGAATGGAAGTGCCCCAGAACAGTGACCTTTTTTGCCACACTCACCTGAACTAGATCTAGTTACTCTCAACAGTGGCTCAAAAATGTGCATGGAGACCAGACATGGTGGCTCACACCTATAATCCCAGCACTTTGGGAGGCCAAGGTGGGAAGACTGCTTGAGGTCAGGAGTTTGAGACCAGCCTGAGCAAGAGTGAGACCCCATCTCTACAAAAAATAGAAATATTAGCCAAGCATGGTGGCTCATACTTGTAGTTCCAGCTACTCAGGAAGCTGGAGCCCAGGAGTTTGAGGTTGCAGAGAGCTATGATGATGCTGCTCTACTCTAGCCCAGGCAACAGAATGAGACCCTGTCTCAAAAAAAAAAAAACTGTGTATGGCACAAACACAGATGGTGAATAGAGACCTGCACTCAGAGTACATTTTTATTAAATTTTAAAATTATTCAAATCAAAAGCTGTGATTTTCAGCAGCATAACAGAGAAATGTCTCATCCTTGTCTCTATCTGATATTAAAGTTTATTCAGGGCAAATATATATCTATATAATAAAACACAGATATCAACATATATGCAAATACATGTAACATGAATATAGACAGCAATTCTATCAGCAGTTCCCAACCTTTTTGGCACCTGAGACTGATTTCGCGGAAGACAATTTTTCCACAGACCTGGGAGGGTGGGGGACAGAGCTCTGCAGCCCGGGGGTTGGGGATCACAGCTATAAACAATACCAACGAAGGCCAGTCTCCCATGGAATCATAAATTCAACAAACTTCTAAGTTCCTACAATAGCCACAGTGGCTGTGGCGGGAGCAGCCGGTGCTTTTTAAGCCCCCACCCTGCACCAACCATGTGATCCCCACACGCCCTATGATAGTGACTATCATTCCCATTTCTCCCATTCTACAGACCGGTAAACCAAGGCTCACAGGGTCAAGGCAGCAGCTGGAACAAATGGGTGAGAGGCAGCGGTACCAGTCGCCCTGGCCCCAGTACCTCCATCTATTACGGCTCCCTCATGATCTCTTCAGGGATAGAGAACTTTGGGCAAAACCTGATTTCTAAGCCTCCTTCTTGTGCTGGTCAAATGGAGACAGTAAGAGAAACAAACGTTTCTACAGACAGGGGGGTAGCACCCCCACAGGCTCCTGAAGCTTCCCAAGAGCACGGCTCTCTTTTACCTCCACACTCTCATCCTCAGCACTGGGCCCAGCCCCACGTGGATGCCCAGTAAACATCTGGGAATAAAAGTGGGCCATAAAAAGGCAGTTCAGGACCCAGACCCTGTTCTCAATCAGTTCACAGTACAGATACAGAAAAAACATGGACATATGGCTGCAGGAAGGGGGTGGATAATTCTGAAGGACTTCCCAGTCTTTATTTTTGGTCTTAAAAATCAGCTTTCAGCCGGGCATGGGAGCATGAGCCTGTAGTCCCACCTGAGATGGGAGGATCTCTTGAACCTAGAAGTTCCAGGCCAGCCTGGACAACATAGTGAGACCCTGTC